CCCGACCCCACAGACCCGCCCCGGCCCCCCCGGGACACGAGAAGGGGCGAGCACGGGGATGCCGCGGACACAAAGCAGCGCTGCGCAGATGGAGAACACATTGTCAGAAAAGGACCGAGTGTTCTTGTGGACAACTTGCCCAGAAATCTGCCCTTGGAGCACAGAAGGTCATTGGGATCCTGGGCTATGCTACACAGACTACTGCCAGCAGGTCAGGGAGCTGATGGGTCCTCTGTACTCAGCAGTGCTGAGGCCACACCTGGAGTACTGGGGACACATCTTGACTCCCCCTACTAGGGAGATGGATCTACTGGGAAGAGGCCCATGAAGGGCCATGAAGATGATTATGGGACTGGAGTACTTCTTGCATGACAAAAGGCTGAGGGAGCTGGGACTGTTCACCCTGGAGAAGAAAAAGCTCAGGGTTGGGGAGGGGGAGATGTTCCCTTCTCAATGTATAGAAATATTAAGCGGTTTAGAATCATAGACTAGTTTGAGTTGGAAGTGGAATTTCAAGGTCATCTAGTTCAACCCTCCTGCAATGAACAGGGACATCTTCAATGTGGTCAGGCCAATCTTCAACAACTTGATCAAGCCCCACCCTATTTGTTTCATGGTTGAAACAGATACAATTTCTGAGGGCAACTTGTTCCGTCACCGTCATTATAAAAAATTTCTTCCTTGTATCTTGTCTGAATCTATCCTCTTTCTGTCTAAGACTGCCACCCCTTGTCCTGTCCTTGGAAACTGTGTTAAAAATTCTGTGCTCATCTTTCTTTTAATCCCTCCTTGTATAAATGAGGCATCTTCTGAATTCACCCTCTCTGTGATCCTGTGAAAGACTCACTCACAGGCCCATTCACATCTTGCCCCAGCAAGGGGAAAACTTACTTTGCAATATCTGTCAGTTACAGGCCACCTGAGGAGGGAGGCAAGGATTCTTAGCATAGAAGTACCAAGAGAAGTTATTTTTTATAATTTAGCTAAGCACATGGCTTTGGAAAGATGGGAAAGAACACTCTCATTTGACCAGTCACCTGGCACCTGAGAGGTCTACTGCTGGCTCTCGCTTATTGCTGGAGGCTGCATTCCTGGGCAGAGTGCATGGGAAGAAATTCAATCAGGAAATGATGAGAAGAAGCTCTCCCTTTCCCCCTCACAGCCACCCAAAGACCACTGCTGGAGGATTGCTGGGGGTACAAGTGACAAATTTCTCCCACAACAACTTATCTACACTAAACCAAGCAGTTCTCCCAGTCTCTCCTCATGTATCAGCTGCTCCCTTCCTTGTCTTCATGGCCCTTCATTGCACTTGCTCCCATATGTCCATGTCCTTCTCATTCTGGGAAGTCCAGGAGGAGACACAACAGTCCACAGTCTCACCAGTGTTGAGCTCAAGAGGATTCCTCCCCAGTGAGCAGAGTCAGGTCAACATGCCAGGAGGCTGCTTGGATAAACAAGGCCAGGGAAAATGCAGACCCAGTGCTGAATGGGATGGGGATCTGCTGACCAGGACATATGTCTGAGTTTCAGCCAGGACAGGGTTAATTTTTTACAGTAGCTGGGAGGGGGCATGGCCAGCCTCTACTCTTATTCTATACCATCTCAGGTTCCTGGCCTGGAGTAAGGGATTCCCTCTCTCATTTCCAGGGGATAGGGATGGTGAGGTAGAGGTATGGGGAAAGACAGTATGGGCAAAATGATCTGACACTGTTTTACTCCATGCACATTGTTTCTTTGTCTCATACTAATTTATACGAATATTGTTGATGTTCCTGTTTTCTTATCTCATTGCTGTTTCCAGTAAATTGTTCTTATCTTAACCCATAATTTTCAGCTTTTTTGTCTCCAATTCTCAACTCCATTCCAGGAGCAGGAAGGGGGAGGGGAAGCCAGGGGACTGAGCAGGTTGCATCTGATTTGGGAGAGTCTCAGTGGGGGCAATGAATTGGGGAGTACTATTCCTAAACCACAACAACATGGAAAAGGGCTGAGGTACTGAATGACTTATTCACCTCAGTCTTTACCAGCCAGACTGGCCTTCAGGAATCCCAGTTCCCAGAGTCCAGGGGGAGAGTCTGGAGCAAGTAACGTGTTCCCTTGCACAATCCATGACACTGAGCCTTTTCCTAGTCCATAATAAAGGACTTTGTCCACATTTCTAGAAAAGTCAGTGCTGAAAACGTAACTACATGAAGAACAGACAACATCCACTCTCTCCTCATCCACCAACACCCATCGACTGGTTGTAGGAGGCTGTAAATGTAGTTGAACAAGATTTCCACTTCACAAAACCATGCTGACTGTCCCTGAGGAAGGAGGACCAGGAGCTGTTCCAGAGGCCAGAGTAGAGATTCCCTGGCTGCCCCTGATGAAGGTCAGGGTGGTGCAGGTTGTCCCTCTGCACACCATGGTACAGCAGATATTGACCCTGCAGCCCATAGAGGAGCTCGCACTGGAGCAAATGGATATGTCCTGGAAAGATCTGTGGCTCCCTGGAGAGCTCATGCTGAGCAGGCTCCTGGCAGGAATGGCACTCCCATGGAGTGAGAAGCCCACGCCAGAGGAGGTTTTCTCGCAGGACCTGTGCCCTGCAGGGGACCCACAGTGCAGCAGTTTGTTCCAGAAGGACTGCACCCCATGGAAAGGACCCAGGATGGAGGAGTTTGTGAAGAACTGCAGCCAGAGGAAAGAACCCACATTAGAGGAGTTCCTGGAGAAATGTCTTCCACAGGTTGGGCCCCACACTGAAGTAGGGGAAGAGCGTGAGATGGAAGAAGTGGCAGAGGAAAGAGGTTATGAACTGACTGCAAGCCCCATTCCCCATCCCGGTGCAATGATCAAGGAGAGGAGAGGTTTCTAGATTTGTCCTTATTTCTCATTATCCCATTCTAATTTGACTGGCAATAAATAAAATTCATTTCCCCAAGTCCATCTGTTTGCCCAAGATGGGAAGCTCTGGGACATCTCCTTGTCCTTATCTTGCTCCATAAGCTTTTCATTCCAATTTTTCCCCCTGTCCAGTTGAGGAGGGGGACTGAGAGGAGTGTTTTGGTGGGCACCGGGTGGACAGACAAGGTCAACCCTCCACACCTTCTCTACTTCTTCCCGATCAGGTGATCTGTAGCAGCCACCCAGAGCAATGTCATCTGTTGCTCTGTCTTTCCTGAACAGCCTGGCTCCATCCTCCACGGAACTGGAACTGGAAGATACCACAACACACCTCCACGATCCCATGGCCAAGCCACAGAGGAAAAATGGGGCTGTGCTGGAGAGAGGCTCAGACAAAGTGCACTAAAACTGCACTTCCCTGAACTACCTCTGAAGTTCCCAGAAAAGATCCTCCTGCATCATAAATGGTACCAGCCCTTCTACCACACTTCCCTCCACTGCCTGGACTGCCACCAAGCCAGAGGTCTGTTTCCTGCACCTGCCATTTCCCAACAACAGCCCCTAGGGAGCAGCTGCTGGAAAGAAATGCTGAGAGATCTGTGCTCCTGTCAGTCAGTTTTTGTTCCACTCTGCTGCAGAGCTGCTCCACGGTGATTCTTGCTCCACAGTAATACGTTGCTGCATCCCCTGGCTTTGCTGCCAGGATCTGCAATGTGACTCTGTTCTTGGAGCTCTCCACTGATCCCTTAAAGTGATCTTGGAAACCTTCTCCATAGATATCACCTTCCATGTAAATCCATTCCAGAGTGCCACGTGGGTCCTGACGGTACCAGTACATGTAGTAATTCCACATAACACCTCGTGTCATGCTGCACTGCAAGGTGACTTTATCTCCCTCTCCCACAGTCACTTCCCTGGGGTGTTGCTCCAAGGCCACCTGGCCAGTGACTGCTGCAGAGAGAGAGAACATGCCATGACCACTCCTAGATGGTGAGGACCCACTCACCTGTCCCTGAAAATGATCTAAATGGGCACAGGAGGGACAAGGACCTCTCACAGGCAAGTGGGGCTTAGGGCCCTGTGCTGCCATCCTCAAGCTGGGCTTTGCAAGATGGTTTGCAGTGCCCCATGAGCAGAGTGTCCAGTCCAAGTGCAAAGTGTTCTGGCCCAAGATCTGAGTGCAGCAGGGCCGTGCCCTGCTGTCCCCACCCTGCAGAGGAGGCAGCTGGGATGGAGGTGATGAACTCCCAGATAGAAGAGGAGGAAGGCTGTTCTTACCCTGCTCCACAGGGATGGTGGGACAGGTCAAGCCAGGGAATAGGTCAGGCTGCAAGGGGTCAGCACAGCTCCCCAGAGCCGTGCAGAGCACAGGGGCACGCTCAGTTCCTGAGGGGCATCACCCCTTCCTTTCACTTACCTACAATGGGCAAGAACCCCCCCCACAGGACAGTCCACATGGCCAGGTGCATCTGTCTCACCTCTCTCCAGCTTCTCTCTGCCTGCAGAACAGCTCTGCCCACACCTTCCCTGCCTGTGCCTCTGTTACTGCACTCAGGTCCAGTCCCTCCCAGTCCCTCCCTCTGTCTCTGACAACAGGGAGGGTGAGAGCTGTGGGCTGCTGGAGCAGAAGTTGAAGCTGTTGGTGCACTCCTGGGTGTCTCTCACCCTGCAGGGTGCAAGAACAGAGTGTTCATTTGGCAGGAAAAGCTCTGCTGTGCAAAAGGTGAGGTGTTGCTGTGGGGCAAACCTGACCTTTCCCCGAGGAAGTTTTGCAGGGTTTGCTGGGACTTTGGAGCTCCCCTGGGAGGGTGGCACGTTGTCCTTCCCCTGGGCTCCTGGCTCTTGCTGCTGCTGAGCTGCTGCTCCCACATGGGACCCCCAGGATCCCAGTTCCACTTGGAAAGGGCATCCTTAGGGCAGAAGTGCTCCTCACCCTGCTCCCTCCACTCTGCCCCAGCACCCCTCTCCCTCCCCATGATGACACTTCTCCAGCTGCCTCTTCCTCTCAAAGCCCTCCCAGACCTCCCAAGCAGCAAATGCAGCCCAGGACTCAGCAGGGACCAGGCTGTTGGAGCTGCTCACCAGAGCCAGGATACTTCCCTTCCCTGTGTCCTCCTACTCAGCAGGAACCCAGAGCTCTCCCTTTGACCACAGGATGTGACACCTGTGAGCCCTGACACACTGTCACCATCCTGGCTGCCACGACCGTTTTGGGGAGCATTGCCCACTCCACAGTGGCCCTGCACAGACTGTCTGAATCCATTCCTTCCCCTCTCTTTTCCTGGGTAACAGAACATGGTCCCTTTTGGATGGGATTGT